ACTACGACGAAGACGACGACGACTAATACAGCTGCTACGACTGCTGATGAATCGACGGAGACGGCGATTACAACGACTACTGCATCAACAGCCTCCCGTCTTGGACGCTGAAACCGAAATCCCTGGTGCCAGGTAAACCTAGTTGCTGCAACTGACTGCGATGTGGTCTGCGTGCTGATCGACAAGCTGGCATCTCTTCTAGGCGGGATGTTCAGGAGTATTGTATTCGCACGCAAAACCGCCAAGAGCTCCTTTCGGGATGACAGGTCAATGCTAATTTCGGAGGCTCCGAAGGGATACAAAAACCCTTATACCATACACGCTAAATCCTTTTCCCTAAACCCCAAACCCCAAGCCCTACACTCTTCTCTGCTGGAGGTGAGGGGGATGTGGCCCAGCTGCTTGAAAGGGCATACGCGACCGAGCTGCAGAGCACGGCTTCACCAAACCAGTCCCCATCATACATATACTAATGCCGATGCTAGTACCAATCCTAGATACAAGTGCAAGTGGAAGTACCAGTACTACTTGGAGGTTCATGGCTAGTTATAAGTAGGATTAAAAGTAGGGTAACTATAATTATAACCCCTATTAGGGGACTTATAGCTCCACTTATAACTACCCATGAACCTCCAAGTAGTACCAGTGGTAGTACTTGTGCTTGAGGGAAGGGTCGCCTCAATGACTCCCAAAGCTGTAAAACCCCGAGCCTTCGGCCAAAAAACCTACTTTGCCATCCTTTTCGCTTAGTGGTATTCCTGCTTGGCTCTTCTGTCGGGGTGCCTGAAACTCTCGATTTCGGGGGTCCTTCGGCTGTCCGCAAAAGCCTAAGTAGGTTGGGCTGACCCTTCGGCATACGCCGTGGTTCGAGAGCCTGCCGGCCCAAGACAAGTCGCACGTGCTCCACACGCAGGCCAGGAGACTGGACTATTTGGAGGTGCATGGGTAGTTATAAGTGGGGTTGTAAGTAGGGTAACTATAATTATAACCCATATTAGGGACTTATAACCCCATTTATAACCACCCACGAACCTCCAAGCAGGGGGCTTCGCTTTCCCAATAGCATAGCAGGAACAGCCCTGTATGGTCCCTGTATGAGGATGCTATGATGTTTCAAAGCCCTACTCTAGTGACTTGGTATCCTCTGTTCTGCATCCCTAAACCCTAAACCCTAAACCCTAAACCCTAAACCCTAAGCCCTAAACCCTAAACCTTGAACCGAGTTTAATGTCGACGGTCATTCCGACGGCTAGAAGGCCAGAACCCCCAAGCCCCAGTATGCCTTGATATTCCTTGCTCTCCGTTCCCGCAATACGTAGGAGCCCTTCACCCTAAAGTCTGAACCGCACACATCGTCGCTCCCTAAAGCCTAAGCCCTGTTCCAAAACTCCTGTGGAGGTCACCATCGAGCCTTGCAGAGAGGGTCAAGCCGTTTCTTCCCTGCAAAGGCACGGAGGGGGAGTGCACCCACCATGGAGTTTGCGATAGCAGGGACGAAGATTCCTGGCCTAAATGATCGGATTCGTTCTTTGGGCATCCCGACGCCCTAAGCCCCAAATCTTAAACCCTAAACCTGCAAACAGCAAGGACCTTCGAGTTGCCCCTAGACCTGAGCCTCCACTTCCTAAATCCTCGCCAAACCCATGATCCCGACAAAGCACGAAGACAGAGGTCGGAATACTGGCTTACAACATCCCGGTAGCCCCTACTGAATATGGGTAGTTCTCCAAATTACCGTTTTAGGGTCCCCAATATAGTACGGCACCCTTATAAAGAGGACCCTAAAACGGACCCTAATTTAGAGAACTATTCATATGA